GCCAGGATGTTTAAAGATTCCACCTTCAGTACATTGTATTTTTTTGTGGTCACTGCAAGCTTCTGAAAGAGAAACTCCTTCTCCTTGTTCAGACGCACGATTGCAGTGTCCCTCTGGCGGATCTGATCCTGCCAGCTCTGCTCTGTTCCCTCCAATTTGGTATTTTTTCTCGACAGGGTCTTGTTGGCTTCTGTCAGACCCCTGATTACACCGTCCCTGTGCTGGATCCTGGTATTCAACATATTCTCGTGTTTAGGCCAATTCACCTCCCAGTGCTTGTTTTTCTCTGCCAGGACACGTGTATGCTTGTCCAGAAGTCCATATAGGAACTCCCAGTGTTTAATACCCACTTCCAATGCAGTATTTCTGCTGCACAGCGTGATCTGGGCCTCTGTGAGCCTCTGGGCGGCTTGCTCCTTCTCCTGTCTGCAGCTCACCTGCTCACACACTGCTGGGATCATTATTCCAGCCATGGCACAAGTCTGTTTTAGTCTTGAATTATGCGTAGTTAGAATAATGAAAGTACAAGACCGTATTTCTTTGTAGAAGACGGTAAATGTTTTTGAGTAGACTTTTTGTCTGTATGGGACTGTAAGTGTATGAAGTAAATCCGTTTGACCTGCAAACATGTTCAGAATGCCAATGGCTTTGATGATGACCTCATCATGACCTCATTGTGACCTCATCGTGACCTCACCGTGACCTCATCAGCAGATGAAGTTATGACATCATCAGCAGATGAAGTTGTGACATCATCAGCAGATGGATGCCAATTTAATCTTCTGATGATGTCATAACCTGGCTCTTGACAAAAAATGGCCATGAAGTGCACGAGGTGAGCACATTTACGTGTAATCAGATCACTCACACTGACAACACTAACTCGGACAGGAAGTTCAGGAAAAGCAATGAAAGATTTTGTATTTATTTGAATTTGAAGGATCACGGTTTTGTTTACCGAGATGCATTCAAAGTTGCAATCCTTAACCTTTAACATGTTCATATATGTTCATAAACATCTATTCTGCTGTGCCTTAACACCACGACAGTTTTACATTTGGACCGTTTTAGAATGTATTTGAAAAAAAAGACAATCGAATTTCCGACATAAACGGACAAAGTGAAATTTGGGCACAGATCCCTACTTATAGACATTTTGCATCTAGCTGTTATTTTGCGGCAATTGCTCTGGTATGTAGTGGTGCAGTATATATGTCTAGGGCTTTTATTTTGAAAGTAAAATCCAACCCAACGACTAAATAGCATTGTGAAGTGGGGTTTATCAATCTAAATCTCAATGTTGTCATTATTTTACAGACATTAAATACCATCAACATACATTTTAAAATAGTAGGTTAAAGCAAAAGGTTATGTACAGTATTGCCATTCTAAGTGAATAAATGCATTTTAAGTATATTGATAGCAGAATTTATTTATTTCTTTAAATGTTGCGGTTTAGAACTTTTTTTTACTTTTTGCATTTCCCCACCTACTGTACACAACTGTTGAATGAAGCTATACACATGCTGAATGTCCGCTCAGGTGAAGAGGTTGCCCCTTTGCAACGGGTCCCCTAACCAATATACTCCCAGCAAAACCGGCCTCTGCATTGCTTTTTTAAAAGGCTCTTAAAGGGGACCACCTCAAGACCTGAACTGGTTAAGGAATTATTAAAACATGTAATGGAAAAGTATATCAACATGTTTACCTAAACAAGTGTAAACTACTGGAACATTAATGAATCCTGCGTTGAATGTATTTAGATGAAGAGGTCTGTCACCATCTCCTATATGTAATGTATTTTAAAGATTGATCACTGCCAAAGCAGTAGTGGGGCCTGTGCTCCTGCACTTAAAACTAGTAACTTCAAGTCATTATATTGGAATTGTAGAGCTATTTCTATAGGGTGCTGCAGCATTACATTTTTTGAAAAGAAGCCACAGTATTTTGCAAGTGTAGAAAGCTAGTTGATTAGGACGGAAGCATTTTTCTAAATGCTGGATAAGACAAGACAGAGATAGACGCTCAACCCCAAGCGAGCACCACCAATCACCACCTCGCAGCTCCTCTCACGAAGAATTTGGGTAAAAATGGATGTGGTACCACCCAGTACCACTATTTATTCCAATTACACTTCAGACTGGAAAGGAACAGCACGCACCATAAATCAGGCTGTCAGAGAGACAATCAGAAGTACACATTCCTATTGGACACTGAACTATGCTGCCTGAATCAATCTCTCCTGGAAAACATCAGGAGAAGGTAGAGGGGTGGTGCCTTATTTCTACAGATGCTACTCAGTGGAAACATCAAAAGGAATCTTGAAATGAATGCAGACGGAGAAGATTGTGTAACTGCCGGGGGGGATGGCTGGCACGCTTGTCTCCAAGGCTTGTCAAATCTGTTAACAACATGTTTCATCAGTTAAAGGAATCCCCCTTACGTCATGTTTTGATCAAATACAGAGTACTCAGATTTGTATCAATCATGTTATTATTCACCTTCTTTTTAATAATTCTTTTTAGGGTTCCATGATGGATAGAATGACACACATTTTAAAAGAAAAAATAAGTTTTGGACTTAATCGAAAAATAATAATGACAAAAGCATTATGAATACTAATAATGTAATCAAATGCACGCTAAAGGGTCTTTGAGCATGTTTTCTCACAGTGATTGTGCTGTTAAATGTTTGTTGTTTGTTTTTCATGTATTGTGTCTTGATATTTGTCTATGTTGATGTTACACATGGAGCTGCTGTGATGCAAGTCACATTTCAGACTTGATCTGACCATAAAAGTATTATCGTATTGTATTATGGTATCGTGTCGTAATGACAGTTAAAGCATTGGAAAGCTTGCAGTCAAGCACTTATTCTTGCCATAATTTGAATTGTGTTCAGGATGCGAGTTGGGGCAGTTCCGCTGTGGCACAGGACGGTGTATACCCGGTGACTGGCACTGTGACGGCACATCCGACTGTGTGGACGACTCTGACGAACACGGCTGCCGTGAGTTGCTCATTATATCACACTGTAGGCTAACATGGCACTTGAGAGGGTAGGGATGTTTAGTCAAAACCCATTCCAACCTGAATCAGAAATACGAAAATCCTTGATTTAAAAACCAGAAGGATTCAGTAAAGGATAATCTACTCTCACTCACTTTACAAAGTGAATCCACCATATAACATTTTATTTGTGTGAATTCTTAAACCAAAAGGTAACTAGCTTTAGCGCTGTAAAGAATAATCCTATACCTGCATAAATTCAGTGAAGCTGAATTATAAATATAAAATGAAAACAAAGTACAAATTAAAAAAAATGGTCCTAGAGTACAGTACATGAGCAAAGGCACGTAGTAACTTTCCCCTTTGCTGGATTACAGTCGAGTTTTGTAAATGTGAAATGCTCTGTGTGTATTCCCACAGCTCAGGTAACATGTGATTCGAGTCATTTCGAGTGTTTGAGTGACGGCGAGTGTATCCCTGATGTGTGGGTGTGTGATGATGAGGAGGACTGTGAGGACGGCTCAGATGAGAGGCACAACTGCCGTAAGTACATGTTGCATTATTAGCAATTCTTTGGAGGACCTTTTTCAAAGTTCTGTGTACATTTTGTAAATGGACTGTACTTATATAGCACTTTATCCAGTCTTTAAGACCCCTCAAAGCGCTTTACATACTACATGTCATTCACCCATATTNAGGTATTTCCTCTCATCCTCCAACTCTTTGGTTTCACAGCTGTGGTCTTCAAGTCACGATGATGATCGAAGTGAAGGAGATGGAGGACAACCTGGCCAATGAAGACCACAGCTGTGAAACCAAAGAGTTGGAGGATGAGAGGAAATACCTGGAAGAGTTCCCCTACTTACCGACGACCGGAGCAAGACAGGTCGTGCTGCAGGACCAGGAGAGCAGACGGGAGGATAAACTTAGCTTGGCAGCAGCGGTGGGGACAGGAGTAAAAGAGAGGAAATATGAAATAAAGAAACAGGAGGAGTCCACAAAGGACCTAGTTAGGAAACCAAATAGCTGGGAGATGAAAGTCACACCGATGGAGATGAAAGTAAAAGAGGTGGGGGACAACCTTTCCAATAAAGACCAGAGCTCCGAAAGCAAAGTGAAGAAGGGGGAGGATGAGGAGAAGGAACAGGAGGAGTTACCCCACTTGAAGAAGACCCAGGCAGGAGAGGCAAGACTGCAGAAAAAGATAAGCAGAAAGGAGAAGAAACAAGAGAGGAAAAGAGACAAGGAGAATACAGGCCGCTGCTAGTTGTTCACGACAACAGTAGCTCCCTTTTATCCCCCCTCTTCACCTCTCTTCCCCTCCCTCATCTTCCTCACCCCACCTCCATCTACCTCATGCCCATCTTTTATCTGCCCTTCTTCCTTACCCTCTCTATAGTATTTTTGCATTGGGTTTTCTCCTGGAACGAAGGTTTTCCCACTTCACATCCAGAGAGGCATTTCTTATGCCCTCTGGATATCAAAAAAAAAACAGTTAAAGAAATACCTCCATCCACCTCAACTCCCTCCCTCTGTCCACCCGTCTCCCTCACCCACTGCCCACATTTTACAATAAGTGCAAAAACCATAGAGATTCAAACTCCGAACAACAGAAAGTGCAGATATATTCACTTCAAGCAAGTCATTCTGACCTGAAGTGAATATATCTGCACTTAGTGTTGGTGCTGGTGAATTAGATAAAAGTCCTAAATTAGCTTTTTTAATTAACTTTTTAATTTTTTTTTTAATTGTATTGCCAAGGTACAAAAAGCCAGGCATTAAAGTCAGATATATGCATTTTCATTTAATACAAATAAACTAAATCATTTCATTAAAACTTAAAAAGTCTATGTTCAATGTCTCCACCTCACTTAAACATAAAGAATATACATACATTGTTATATGATATTGTGTTGACTAGCAAGTGAAAGTACTGCCAAATGTGAATAATACACTGTGTCGTTTAAAGCCTTGCATTCTCTGATCAGAATGATTGTCTCAGATTAAGCAGCCAGTAAAACACCAAACTGCTTTACGACCTGCATGTTTAACTCCTTCAGCAGCTACCTAGGAGGCAAAGCTTTTTTCCTGCTCAGTTTACTAATGATAAAATTGCCCACAATCTGCTCAAAGGGAGCCTTTGTTACAAGGCAGTGATCCCAGAGGTGTCAGCATCATCTATAGCAAGGAGGTAAGGGCAAGTGTTGCGTACAGTTTGAAAACTGCAAAGAGATGCGCTCTATTTAACAAAAAAAAATAGTTCCTATAACAATGACAGATGGATTCGAAACTAAAAAAGGGCGAAAAAACCAAAATACAATCGTGTCATTAAACGGAACATTGATGTAACAAAAAATGGTATTGGAAAAAATTGCTCATCAAATGGATGAAACACAAGGAAAGTAAAAGATCAAGATGTTTAGTGGCCATACATTTAGGCCAAGCTGGATAACCTTAAAGCACGT